CACTGCGGAGAAAAGAGTTTGTCTGAAGTTTAATGTAAGGACTTAAATATTCATATGTAGCACACATTAAGCTATCGTATGGCTTCAGAAGTAACACAGAATAATTCGCACAATCGAGAAAAAAAAAAATCTCAGATTTAGATCGGCCCTCTCTGACCGATACCCTCGGATCAGCGCATCCCTAGTGAACACCCCTTAAATCTGCACATGACCATTCGTTTGCATGCTCAAGAATGTGCTCTCAGGGTTGCATTGGCACTATGAGTGGAGACATAAATGGACTGCACCTGATGCATGAGTAGATTTAATTAGCAAACGGGGCATTTCTGTTTGCTAATGGCTTTTCTGAATTTTATTGGGATGGTTTTTTAAACCATTTACATATAATGGCTCAGCCAGCCGTGCTTGTGTCATTAGACCATTTCCATTCAGAGCATTCATAAAACACACAGCAAATCCTGAAATGGCATGATAATTTATTTAGCATGATGCTACTTTGTTCCTTGTGATGATATTGCACACTTGGGCAAGTCTGTTGGCATCTGTTAATGCTGAAGTGTGCTGTGTTTTTTTTTTTTTTTAAACATTAAAATAATTTAAATTTTTTCTGTCCCTGCTTGTTTGAGCAACCTAACAGTAGAATTGGCTGAACCAATTGCATATGTTTGAGAAATCTGTCTGGTCGAATAAAGTCAGATGGAAGTGAAACCGGGTTATTTTTTATTTTTTTTGCATTTCAGAAATGATTCACTTCACCTTTAATGAATTAATGTGTTAATATATGAATAGTTGTGCATAACATTTGTCTATGCAATGTATTAAAGACTTTTTTTTTTTTTTTTTTAAGTTTGCCTTTTTGGGCAACTGGAGACCATTCAAACAGTCTCTGATGTAAACTACTGATTGCATTTTTAAGAATTAAATTTGTGTTTGTTCATACCGTTTATTTTGCTGTGAATAAGAGACTCAATTCTTGTGATTCATAGTGTTTACCTTTTGTTTGTCTGCACACATGCGACTGTCCTCTCAAGTGTGGCATTGACACCTCTCAGGCTATTGTGTGCTCTCTTTCAGTAATCTACTTTGACATGCAGGAGGAGTTTTTCTTTTTACGTTGGCAGGCGTGCATTAGCTCAGATTGATTTTCCAGCTCTGTTAGTCGTATGAATGTTGAGAAGCTTTTAACTGTGAGTGTGAATGCTCAAGTCCCTTTGTAGAGGTTAGGATGCAGGTACCTCTGGGTTATTGGTTTTCTGGGTGCAAATTGGGATCCGAGCCCGCTGACACTCGCTGGTCATTCAGCATGCAAAATATTTGAATAATATATTCAGGACTTCAACAATAGAAGACTTGTAACATGCTTAAATAAACACTTACAGGCTTTTGAAATGTAATGTTATAGCTCCAGTTGCACTGTTTTTTTTTAATGTTGGTTTCAAATACTGAAGGGAAGTTTATTCGCCCTGTCTCCATTTAAAATGGTTTGGAGCCTGACCGAGTGTCATAAGTGTTTGGAAATTAATTACTCTGAGAGCACCTTACTTTCAAATGCTTTGTTCAAACAGCTTTTTTTTTTCTCTCTGTTTCCAGCCAGGAGCTTCATTGATTTGAGAGCTCAAATGAGTAATTGTTTCATGTCCAGATAATTTCACTGCAACACACACACTTTGGTTCTCTGGGTGTCTCAGTTAGATACAGCACACTGCCCCGAGCCTGCTCTGTCCTTTCTCATTTTTGGATGCTGGAGTGCTGTGTTTCCTGTTCTGCTTTTCTACTCTTAATTCCTCGTGTATTCTGTCTATCGTTTTTCTCTCTTGCTTTGGCTTGTGCACTACTTTCAACCTCT